TCAAAATGCTTGTCAGTTCTTATGAGACTACTTCAAACTATATTATCCCAGTGAATACTTATTCAATTTAATCGTAATGAGCCCCATTTGAATCAATACACTTCTGCCAATGTAACACAAGTCGATTGATCCGTTAGCATAAAAATTTTGTGCTCGGGATTCGATAAAGTCGACGACGGCCATTTTTCCTGGTCTTGATTGACGAAGGTTCTACCGGTGAGAAAGTTATCGAAGTGGTTGAAAAGATTGTAGTCGGTTGGCGAGAGGTCAGGAAAGGATGGTGGGTGAGGCAGAACTTCGACGCTCAATTTTTTTGATTTTCGGACGATGATTTTCGCGGTCCGAGCAGGATCGGACCTCTTCTGTTGACCAGTGCCGGCTGCTGTTGGAGCAATTTTCGGTACAATTCTTCGATTTCCTCTGCTGTGATGATTTGGCCCGGTTGCAGAAAGTAATATAGTGAGTCGCACCTGCCGCTGACCATCTTACAGTAACCATGATCTTTTCTTGGTGTGTCTTTGCTTTTTGGAAGTGCCTGGGTGTCCAACCACTATCCTGAACGTTTCCTGTTATCGTAGAGGATCCACTTTTCATCACACATGACGATTCGATCCAAAAAAGGATTGTTTTGGTTGCGCAGAAGTAAAGTAGAACAGACCTCGAAACGTAACAATTTCTGTCGATCGTTCCAATCGTGGGCACCCACTTTTCGAGCTCCTTGACAGAAACCGCATGTAAGCTCATGTCCAGTTCTTCCGCTGTGATTGGTCGATCAGTCTCCACAAGGGCCCTCAAATCCCCGTTCTAGATTACTGTAGGTTGACCACTTCGGAGCTCATAATTGAGGCTAAAATCTCCCCAAATTTTTTAAGTGGCAAGTATAGGTTTGTGATATATCGTTTGAAGGGTCTCTTCATTCTCTGTTCAAAAATGTTACCGAAATTCGATAAAATACACTCAAAAATTAAAATGTAATGCAAAACGTAATGAAATGTCGAATACGAAAAAGAACTATGGATGTTAACGAAGTAGATGTTCAAAATATTCACCGCGAAGTTCCGCGATAGTCTTGACAACATCCTAGTCTCAAATAAAACTGTCTTCTAACATTATTTAACATATCAGGCGTGACCGACCTAATCGCAAGCGTTATTAGTTCTTTCAAGTCATTCAAATCTGAAGGTTTAGTTTTGTACACATTGCTCTTTACATATCCCCATAAAAAGAAATTTAATGATGAAAGGTGATCGCGCTGGCCATTCTATCGATCCTCGTCTCCCTATCCACCGATTGGGAAATGTTGTATCGAGGTATTATCGGACATTAACTTGGTAATGTGGTGCATGGTGTTCCATCCTGCTGAAACCATATCGTATTCACTGGAACTTTAGGGTTTCCTGGATCAGGATATACTTACATTTACTAAACTTGGAATGACATCATTTTGAAGTAATGCCTAATAATTTTCATCATTCAAGTTGCCCTTAATGAAAAAGGGATCAATGATATGGTTTCCTACAATCCCTGCCCAAACATTAACCTTTTGAGGGTATTGCGTGTGTTCTTCTCTCATCCAGTGAGGATTTTCCGATGACCAAAAGCGGCAATTTTGCCGATTAGCATGACCGTTTAGAGACAAAGTACACTTATCAGAAAACATAACGTCTTCTAATTGGATATTGTTATCCAACATGTCCACCATTTCCTCACAAAAATAAGTTCCTCTATCAAAATTGTCATCCATGAGCTCCTGAGTAGGTATCATTCTATAGGGATGCATTTTATATTCTTTTAATATGTTTACAATCGATGTATGGCTAACATTGAATGTAGTGGATGCCTGTCTACTCGATGTATGTGGGTTTTCCTCAAACTCAAGCATCACATCTAATTTGAGTTCAACACTCACTGCATTGGCAGCTGATTTTTTATCTGTCCCACATGACCAAGCTAGCGAAACTGCTTCTCTATTTTGTTTATTGTTTCTTGAGGTATGGGCGGTAAATTAGGAAATTTCTCATGAAATATGCGAGCTACTTTCTGTTGCGTTCGGGTTTTATTTCCGTAACCAATCATTTGTAAAACTTGTTATTTTATGCATTTCCGTTAATCTAGCCATTTGTCAGACTTGAAGTTAAAGAACTTTAAACTTGAATTAAAATACTGACAACTAATGTTGTAACACACAAAACAAGTTGACAAGGCGTCTTAAACTAACGTTGCCATGTAAATTATTTAGTTTTAAAGGATACCATCTAGAAGGAACATTGCTATGGTGTTTGTTTACTTTCTTATTATCAAACCTCAACATGAAATGCGTTTTGACTATATTGCAATAAGTCTTGAGTCTATTTTATCGAATTTCGGTAACCACATGATTTTAATTTATTTTATCTTAATTGTTGCAATAAGCTTGGAAGCGATAACATTTTTGAATAGAGAATGAAGAGACTTTTCAAACAATATATCACAAGTCTATACTTCCTATTTAAAAAGTTGGGATTGTAACTGTCATTCGACGGGAGTTGAAAGTAGGGGTAGCATTTTTCCATTGAAGTATGTCAAATTATAATTTAAATTTGACATGTTTCGGAATTTTGTTAAAATATGTACTGTAACCGAAATAATGAATTTATTCCATTTGGCTTTAATGAATACTTATTGAGATGTAGTGCTACAAACACCTATGACATTAAAACGGACATAACTTTTGAAATAAACTAATACAACAGATATTGTCCTATAATTGCTTATTTAACAATGATTTCCTCCATTGCTGTGAATGTTTTGGAAATTGTATATAAAGTTAAGTGCATAAAATAATAATGTTTATTCATAATATCTACATATTGGTTAGGAGTTATTAAAAAAATTGCATGAACTAAAGTTAAATTATTTTTAAAATAGATAAAACAGTGATTTGACACAAAACATTCGAAAAATGTCTATAACTTATCAGATTCAAATAAAAACTTGTATACTTGCCGAATTATATTCGTATGTAAAGAATCCACATGTGAAATGATCAATTTGCAAGAATGACTTTTTATATGATGAGTTGGGTAGTTAAATAATAATTTGAGGCTGAATAATACGTATTATTATTCAGTTCTAAGCTGATCAGTGATTTAATCATTCAATTTGTTTTTCCATAATTTTTATGGACATCTTACCTTAAAATGACGCCATCTATTCAGGCTTGTCCTTTAAGGGCAGTTGAGTTCAGCAACGATATGATATAATCTTTTGGGGTGTTTGCAGTAAAAAAACTCATGCAGTCAGCTTTTGTCTTGCAGAAAAAAGCAGGTACTTATGTAAAGCGAAATGGCGGGATTCATGTAAACCCTTTTTTTGAAAATATAGAATTCTTACGGTTATTTCAATATTTATATTGGAAACCGTGTCAATTATACATATAAATAGGGAGAACAATGAATCTGCAGCTACAGCAATATACCACACAAGGCGGTCAAATGAACTGAATCTACCAATTCCAAAAACATGTTTGGTTCAAAACTCGTTGATATATAATGGAATCAGGATATACAATAAACATCCCAATGAAATCAAAGAGACTCCTTTTATCATATCCAGAGAGAAATGTACAAAACTATTAAATGATAAAGCCTATTATGACCTACAAGAAGGTGCCCTGTAATTTATAATGTGTGGAAATTGCCATTGTACTGTGTGTGAAAAACATATTTTTATTCGTTGTCCTAGTTCTTGTCATGTAACCTTTGCATATGTATGTATATATGGTTTATATTATTTACATTTTATACATTTATACTTCATATCTTATACTCATGTTTATATTAATATTTATTCACAAAATTGTGTTTGTAACAATAATTTTATTCTTAAACAATAAACATATTATCTATCAATCAATCAATCATTTGTGGTTCAGCCCACCACCACTAATGAGACCTATGGCGGGTTAAAACAGCACTGTCTGGTGTTGAATCATAAATGCGTATGTTTGGGCTTTAATTTCCAACTAGTTGCTTTGCAGTGGAAGGCAGAGGACGAATTTCTTCGGTGATTGATATTGAAGCTTGGCTCTGTGCAAATGGCCGCCTTGGGGAGTCTCGTCGTCGATCTCATAGATGGAGTCGTTGTAAGGAAAGATGTAGTTAAGAGATTTTCGGCCAATTTTTCTCTACGAATTCCAAATAAACGAAAGCGCTGCCGAAACAACCCGAAAAATTAACACACAGCATTTGGCAATGACAGTGTTAATAAACTCACTATTCAACGTCAGTTTGCGAAATTTCGTTCCGGAGATTTTAGCATCGAAGATGAGCTCCGAAGTGGTCGACCTACCATAATCCAAGACGAGGACTCGAGAACCCTGGTGAAGTACTGACCCATCACAAACGGTGCGCGGGATGGCGGAAGAACTGGGCCTCAGCGCCCATGCGATTTTTGACGGTTCAAAACATACTAGAAAGGTCAAGTTGCTTTTTTGGATCGAATCGTCACGGTCGATGAAAGGTGCATCCTCTACGAGAACAGGAGACATTAAGGAGAGAGGTTGGACACCAATAAGCCACCCAGGCACATCCCAAAAGCAAAAACCCATCAGCGACTGGTGTGATTTACTATAACTCTCGGCAAAAGTGCACTGATTCAAGTGGCGTTTAGTTCGATTAAATTGAATATGTATTTACTGAGATATTACAGTTTAAAGTAGACTGATAAACACGGACAAAACTTCTGAAACAAACTATTATTTCAATTAGCACATTGAAAATTTTAATTTGTAGAAATTGCATGTTCATTTTCAAATAAATATACGACTTCATTATGGCTTCCTGACAATTCTTTTACGGTTTCCATATAAAATATTGATGCAACTCAAATATAACTTGTTGACTGCCTTTGTTGGACAACCGTAAAATTCATGCATTAAATATGTTTCGAACTTGTTACAAAATAAATTTTTACTATCAAATACTTATAAATAATAGTACAATAAAATAATAGTCTATAAAGTATTCTGACATAAATGATTTATTGAAAGTCCTACTTTTAAGAAACAAATTGAAAAAATATATTTGAAACTTAATAGGCTACACAGGGCAACTATAAACATTAATACTCTTATCTTCTGATACAGAAAGTATTTTATTACTATCAGGATTGAATTTCACTCCCCACACCTGAAACAAAAAAATTTGTAAAATTAAATCACGGGCAATGAGAGTTACACCAGAAAAAGATATCAAATTTCATATATATGATGGAATCGGCCGATACTTGATGAAAATCCATAACTAACGTATTCCAAAAACACTTTATTGTGAGATTTTCACTAAATTGTTTTACAAAAACGCAACACGTGTTTCGCCATACAATGGCTTCATCTGGCGTGTCTTTCAACTCTGTTGAAACAACTGTTACAACTGAATAAAAAAGTGTAATATTAGACTGATTGGAAGCCGGTGAATTGAATGCAGCCCTCGCAAAGGAGTTTGGCGTATCCCATTCTACAATATCCACAATTAAAAAGAATAAAGATAAGATCGAGTCACTGTTCAATGCAGCAGTTGGATAAGGCATTGTGAAACAATGTAGAATGTAGCCTAACTTCAAACCCAGATAATTTCAACGAAGAAGACAACATACCGCTGAGCATTTGAGGGAGGGCTATTGATATGCATCAGACACCCATAACAAACGAGGACTTTGAATAATACGCGTGTGTCGATGATGCTGTCGCCACTTGTGATGAACCCTCTGATGAAAACATTGTGGAAAATATAATTGCCAACGACGCGAATAGAAAAGATAATGACGGTGATGATGACGCACAAGAGGATATTTATCCAACCTTGAGTGTGTCTGAAGCTCTGTAGGCTGCGGAAACACTCAATGTGTTTGTTCAGACTAACTTGAATGATGATGTTATGAAAACAATCATGTCGCGAACTCGTAATGCTGTACGAAATTCTCACTACCGATCAAAAGTTTGTCAAAAACAAACTCAAATAACAGACTTTCTATGTTAGTAACACAGTTTTTTCGTGCATTGCGTGTGTATTTTATCTCTTCGTTTTACAGTACATAATGATGATGTTTGTACATTAGGATATTTAAGAACTATTTAAAAAAACATATGTGATTCCTATAAAATGTTTTATTCATCTATCGATCAGCAATCCGAACAGCTAAATGAAAGACTAATGAACTAATGTACACTTTACTACTGCAAAATGAATCCGTTTTGTGCGTCGTCCGGTTAGTTTGACATAGTATATCCCTTGAAGGTCGTTATATCTGGATTCTACAGTATACGACTTCATCGTAGCTTCCTAACAAATTTTTTTTACGGTTTCTATATAAAATATTTAATGTTCAGACATGTAGTTTTATCTGAATCATACTTTCGTTGGTATTCATAGTTCTCATGCCACATTTCACTATTTCCATACTTTCAAAAGAATTTGGACAAAGTACTGTAAATTTTACAGTATTGGTTAATCAAATGACCTGATATGTGTGCAATTAAGTGAAGGTAGGCAGACTTCATTCATCTATCATTATTACTTGGTGAGCTTGGACGTCGTCACTTTGTATAAGATGGTTTCAGTCAATGACACTATACAATTTATTGGCGAAGTATTTTGGGCATACATGAACGTTGTGTGGCGCTGATTGCTTGTCAAAGTATTTCCTGTGTGATGGTGTTTTCTATTAACAAACTAAGGTCACCGCCCATCAAGTCCTGTGGTGGCTGACTTCTTCATGGAAAAATTCGACCAATGTGCCTTAGATCCGTGAAACCATATTGTTGGCTGCGATACGTTGATGACATGTTTGTGAAGAGCAAAAAGTGAGTTTCCTGTATATCTAAACTTCTCCAAACCAAAAACTAAAACAGACATGAGAAAGGCATATTGGCTCAAAGGGTATACAGGAAACTAACACAGACAGGTGTCTGAATGAAAACTTTAACCAACAGCCACGATTTAAAACTTAAGTTTTAAGAGCCTGATACCTCTGTGGAGGCGAAAGTTCTCCCAAGGAACTCAGTCATTTGAGAAATGCCTTTGAAGAAAATAGGTGTGACCAAGCTGAATCTAACATAACAAAACTCCAAAAAGGCCTGCCAACGGAAAAGCTTTCCTGCTTCATCTGAAGAGTGTTACAGACCAGATTGGGGTAATTCTGAAGTCAATATTCAGGCCAACGAAAATCATCAGAGAGAATCTGAGATCAGCTAAGATCATCAGAGGACCTTTAGTAACACCGCATCGGGTGAAATTGGATCCCTTGTAGCTGTGGATCAGTTTACATTGGAACCAAAAAGAAAAGTTTAACTCTCTGAAAACAAGAAATATTGTCGCTTGGGTCATACCATCAAATTAGGAGTAGCAGAATATGCACTCATAGAATGCACCCAAGTAATCATATTTAGATAGAGCCAAGTGCTCGATAGAACTAAAAGAATTATTCAAGACTATATAAAGAGGCGACAGAAATTCAGAAACATAAACTTCAACCGAAATTAAGAGGGATTTAACATAAATTAATTGATTGCACATATATCAGGTCATTAAATTCAACTGATAGAAACAATGACTAGCCCATCAATAATGTACTATCTGCTGGATACTATACCTGGAAATTGGCTTTGGCATAGTTATCTGTGGCCATGAAGATTTACACTCTTTGATCAATTTCAAACAATGTTCCTTAATTTTATGGCCACACTCTGATGCTTCCATAACAAGCACTTTTCATAAACACCAGAACTGCAATACTCTTCTCGACGCGCTTTTCACCAACCAAGTTGGCGTCTTCAGGAGATGGAGAGAACTAACTTTATCTCCTGAAGAATTCCTCAAGAAGTACTGGGTAAAACTCAACACTTCCATTAGCGACATCAAATCTTTCCCTGTTTTGCCTTCAATGACAAATGTAGTGTACCATTTGTTTAAACCACTTTTTAGAATATATCCCTAAATTCTCAACTTCTCAAAAAGAAGATGATGCCAAGTTTATTGTTATTCCATATGTACCAAGATACATTAATGGGTTGGATCTAATTTTCACAAACCTGAACATAAAAGTAGCTTTCAAAACTTTTGTTTCACCAATTCTCGGATTTATAAAATGAGCTTTTTCACAGTACAAAATCTATATCTCTCATAAATAAGCTATTAAAACTCATTTCAAAGAGCGGTAGACCTACAAAGTCTACTGTCAATTTGAAGATAGGCCATAAAATAGAAAAAATGATTGGTTGAAATTGTTGAGACCAGTACATGACACTAGACTTTGAGATATTATTGAAAATCTGCAAATAATGTATTCCAAAAAACACTTCAATGTGAAATTTTTACCTCTAAAGGAATTAACTTAAAATGTTCAAGCCCATCTCGAATATACCTACACAGTAGGTTGAATGGACTGACACCTATCAGAAAACAACTACTCCACTGACTAATACCACGAACGGCGTTGTATTATATCCGACAGGCGTCAGTGCAGGAATCTTCACAGAAAATTTCCTGCATATGCAATTGGCAATACAACTGAAAGAGTCGACCTTCAATTTTGGAACGGGCACACTTGCAGACCGGTTTCGTACTTCTTAGCCACTCGTCAGTGCAATATAGTGACCATCACCAACCTAAAGTCAATGATATTCCATAATTGAAAATCGAAATTCTTAAAGTTTATTTCTTTAGATTTGTTTACTGCCCGTCTTCAAGCATAGCCCACTGACTAATAAGAAAGTTTTTCTTCCTTATTCAGAGGAATCGGGCAAATTTCGGATATGCAGTTGGTTAGTACTTCGTCCACTAGATGGAGTGACATTTTTGATGTTTGCTCCAACTTAAGACGAGGAATGAAATACTCTGAAAGAAGCAATTGTGCAGAGGAAGGCATGTTGCGGTTTTATTCAGTGAAAAATTTCTTAATGAAGTGTTTCTTCTCCCATCAAGTATAGAATTCCATCACAATTATTCATGACAGAATAAATGTTGAAGAAAATTTTGAACAATTTTCTTAATCCTAAGAGGAGAAACTATTGTTTAGGTAAATGAGAGAACAAAGGATATTTTTGTTAGAAGAGTTACCTGATCTGTGTGTTCTTTGAATGTATGTACACACTGTTTAGTATTGAGATCCCACACTTTAACAGTTTTGTCAGAACTACCAGACACAAAATACTTTCCATCAGGAGAAAATGCAACACTAAGAACCCATGATGCGTGTCCTGATAAAGTCGCTACCATTTCAGTATGTTGCCTGAAAAGAAAAATTAAAGTATGCTATTACTGTGAATTATATCTATTTTGTCGGTTGATTAGGGAATTTGTAAATATATGCAGTGATTTTTCTGATTGATTCGGCTGTTACTTGATGAAGAGTATTTTAATGGAAAAACCTTATGAAACACATATAAACTATAGATTAGACAATCAGGAAAGTGAACAAAAAAAAATGTTTGGAAATACATTTTTAGTTTCCTACTTCTCTATAGGATAAAAAAAATAAACAAGAGGAAATAAATGGAAGGATTGAACAACTATTAATGAAAACTCTTTGGGAAAATATATAGATCATCCAACAGAACAAAAGAACTCATTGGAAACTGCACACAGTTGATCTAATTTTAACAATTTGTATAACAAACATTGGTGAAAGGATTGAAACAAGATATTTTTAGTTATTCATCATGGATATGTGTAATGTCATGAACCGAAAACCATTCCTAATTGATATGATAACCATGGAAATTGGATACATTTCCTTATATACTAAGTACCAGAAGTAATATTAATTAATTGTTGAAAATCATCAATTGTAAAGTCAAACTTACACATCATATAGCTTCATATGCCCATCATCAGATGCAGTAAGCAGGAGCTGAGAATCAGGGGAAAAACACAGTGATCGAATAGGCATGGCATGACCTTCTAGGGTATGTCCTAATTTATTTGAGGCTACATCAAATATGTTTATGATTCCATCCAAAGCTCCGCTAGCAATATACTTTCCATCTGGACTCTGTCAGGAAGAGAAGTTATAAATTCAGAATTGATGATAATGACAACAATATTTTTTGAAAACTATCTAATAACCCTCAACCCTCATTTGAGAAACTGTTAAAATCAGTAATCTATGAAAAAAATATGTTTGAGCATTGAATGATCGAACAAAGACTCAAGAAAAAATAAAAGAAAATCCAAATGGAACAGTTTGCTTCAGAATGTGTGATGTTTGACAGCCCAATTACAAAAAAGCTAACATTTGATTGTAGACATATAATCATTAATCAACATCATGGATTCAGTCGTGGTAGATCTTCCAGCACAAATCTGCTCATTTATCAAAACTGTATAATAAATGCCTTCGAAAAAAGACAGCAGGTGGATTCTATTTTCACAGATTTGTCAAAGGCATTTGACCGAGTAAACCACAATTTGTTGTTGCATAAACAAAAAGCTTTGGGTATTCAAAAAAACATTCTGAGATGGATTGAAAATTATCTAGCCTGCAGAGTGCAATTTGTGAAATATGGTTACTCAGTATCTTCCTCAATCACAGTTTCATTGGGTGTACCACAGGGTTCTCATTTAGGGCCACTGCTTTTCAACCTATTTGTGAATGACTTGAAAGATGTTGTTCTTTATAGTGAATTTCTTTTGTTTGCTGAAGACCTGAAGATGTTTGAAATTATTCATGACTCAACCGATATAGAATTATTACAGTACGAATTATCTAACATTGTTCGCTATTGTGATATAAATCTACTGCAATTAAATATAGATAAATGACAAAAATTTACTTTTTTCCGAAACAAAAATCCCATTAACCGGCCATATGAAATCAATCAATCAGAACTGAAAACAACAAACACAATCAGAGATTTAGGAATCACTCTCGACCCAAAAATGTTATTTGAATCCCTTATTGCTAATATTACTTCTGAAGCACTAAAAATGTTAGGTTTCATTCTTAGATCTGCAAATGAATTATCTCTCACTTCAATAAAAATCATAAATTGTTCAACTGTTAGATCAATAATCGAATACAATTTCACAATTTGGTGCCCTTCATATCATGTGGATATTGATATGCTTGAAACTGTTCAAAAAAAGTTTTTAAGGTACTCTGCATATAAACTGGGATATCATATTGGTGAATATGACTATAAAATTATATTGGACATTTTTAATTTGAATACTCTGGCTCATAGAAGATCAGAATCAGATCTTACACTAATTCATAAAATAATCAATTCCCCGGAACTTGTCGAACTTATAACTTTAAATGTTAATCCAAGGAGAACAAGAAATTCGGAAATCTTCAAAGTACCCTTTTGTCGCACCAACTATGGCCTTAATGAATCTGTACGTAGAATTTTGAGACTTGCAACTACATACAATGTAGATTTAGAATTTTTTAATTCTTCTTTGGAAACATTTAAAAAGACTTTGAAAGATTGTAATTCATTAACTTAGTAACTCTTATTAGCTCATTATTTTTGCATTCAAAATTAAATTAAGTATTGCTATTAGTCAGTACTTTTGTATTTGAATTAAATTCCATTTCATTAGCAATAAAGATAGATTTTTGATAGGTGAAGTGTAACAGTCTGACAGTGTATCAGCCAATACCGATAATGCTGATGGTCAATTGAAATTATGATGTCAGTTGATCACTATCAAAGATGAATTGTGCTTTATTACTATGAGAATGTATTTTCTAATACTATTATAACTTGATTCAAAAAAGTGTAGAAATGAATGGTACGTTCCCACATGTGGCCAGGAAACAGCTGAAATAGGTACTTGGTACTTATAATTTCATCACAATTTCTTTTTGTGTGCATGAATCAGCAATTTTTCATTGTTTTTTTTGCAGACAAACTTTATAAAATATGCAACTAGAAATAAATGGAATAATAAGTACTCTAGTTGAAGGCATTATTATGATATTTCTTGCCTGAAAGGCAAGGGTGCACAAGAAAGTGTTTCCTTATAGTGTTTGTAAGACTGATAGATGTTATAAGTCATTTCAAACCTATACTTGCCATTTTATAAACTTTTCAAAACTTTGTTTTCAATATCGTAAAAAATAATTGAATCAACAAGTAAAATTTATATTAAAGCATGTTCGAAACGCAAAAAATGTGAGTTATGGGTCACAGAAGACTTTCGATAGACTGATGTAGTTGGCCCTAAAATATTTAGTTACTCATATTATTAATAGTATAGGTGATCAATTTATTTAAAAAATGTTACTAGTGATAACAATAAATTGTCGTAGTTCATTAAGATTATTTGCTCCATTTTTATGCTATACAATATCATTGTTTTGAAGACTATCCTCTCAACCAGCTCACTTTTTATTTTCGACTCTTTTATAAGTATAAGTATATGTATATTTATAAGTATAAGACTCTTTTGCAGTATTTTTATTTGTTCACAATTAAGTGCTTCGACTGAACTATGAATGAGAACAGAACCATTATCAATTTATTGAAAAAATTGATTTGTTTGCAGAGATCGCATTGCTTTTTCAGCCATTAATTCATAAGCCCGTATGAAACTATAAAACTACTTCTCTTTCAACTTGGCAATTTGTTTGCTCTTGTTGGATAATGAAAAGGCCTATGACGACTAATTTCAATACATTTACTTGATTTGTCTTGAAATATAATTAAAAACTAGGTTACTACTAACAATATCTAATAAAGAATGTAAACTTTCATAGCCGGAGATAACTGTGTCAAAGTTTTTTTCCGTATTCTTTAACCGAGGTTTGCAAGTTTTTATGTCTTGTCTACTACTGCGGTAGATATTATCAAAGACGATGAGGTAACAGTCAAAGAGCAAAAAGTAGATCTCAACACAGAAACCTGCAGACCACAGCCAGGTAAACCCGCAAATAGCTTTGACAAAATATGTAGTAAGTTCTGTTTAAATCTGTTTAAAATCTGTTTTTCCATTAACCAGCTGTTACAAAAACTCAATGCAGAAATGCTAATATCCTAGGGCGGCCAAACCTTACATCATTTTATAGCAGCTCATGTCATAACAATGAAAAAATTTCAATGATGCTGAAAATTGTGAAAACAAAAAGTTTCATAGTAACAAAATACTAACATAGGCTATGCTTAGAGTAAACTTTCCTCTTGTTTCGAATGTTTGTTCTGCTTTAGCTGTTTCTACACTGTAGCTTGTTATTTTACCAGCATGTGACCCAGAAATAATATGCTTATCGTCGGGGCTGAAAGCAACAGTCCAAAGATCGACTGGTCCAACATCTACATTAGCAATTTTTTCTCCCTTATCTAAGTCCCATATTCTCATACTGGAATCAAGTGAACTAGAGGCACATACTGAAATCGAAAAACATTAAGTGTTTTCTTCTGTTTACATAAAATCAGTATCTTTTACATTTTCCGCTGTTGCTTAGTGCCACTGATACGACACCAAGAGAATGTCCTTCAAGATTATGTTTCAGTACAAGCCGATCATCTTGCAAGTCCCATACTTTAACGAGATCATCCACGCCTCCAGTAACTATATAATCAGTTGGTGCTTCATCAGACATTATTGAATCTCTGAAACACATTACTTGCCAAAATAACAGGAAACTAGTCATATTACTCGATTATGTTATTTTAATACCTAGATTTATCATCATCCCCCTGGTTGTCATCGTCTTTTTTCTTTCGTTCTGGAGAGTATCTACCCCAAGCACAACTCCAGATACTTTCTTCATGGGCATTTTCTTTTTTGTGAAGAACAGAGTACTAAAAGAAAAGAAGTAAATGTATGGGAAGAGTTATATCGAGTTATAGATTCAGAAGTAGCAGTACCATTCTTTAATAATAAGGAATATATTTGATAAAACAATCTTCCGACAATTCAAAACATCAGAGTTAACTGCAAAATGTTTATGGTTAAGTTAGTGACGTCATAATTGTCATGTATATGCACAGAACTATAACATAAGTTATAGCCATAACATAAGTTATAGTTCTGTGTGTCAATGGCACATAATATCATATTCTGTGTCTATGGGTTTCGTTGGTGTTTGTTGGTTATTGCTTGCATGAGGACATATTATTAAAGTGTTATTGACTTCTTTTTTCATTTGCCATCTACAAAAACACTGAAAAAATACAATTATTCAATAATCTATTGAACTCATATTAATTTCGTATTTTGATTTTAGTGAAATCAGATTATTCTTGGAACACGTTACTGAAAAGATCACTTCAGGAAATATTGAAATTAATTAAAATTATATGGATGCTGGCTGAAATAGAAACCCTCTGACGTAACTTTTTGTTTCAGTTATCTCTTGACGATGCAAGTTAATTAGCGGAACTCGCATCAAGAGACAGTACTTATGACCCGGTGTAGAAAAGCTGTTTTTCAATAAGTAATGCTCAATCAACAAAACTTTGACATCGACATCTGAGTGATAGATAGATTAGCTTTATTGTTTGAAATGGTAACGTTTTATCGTCTATGTCAATACAATTATACATTGAAAAAGATTAACTTTATGAAGAAATAATTTAAGAAAATAAAAAACACAGGTACACAACATTGGATTCAAAAAAAGCAATTGAGATATATTGAGTTAGGTATTTACGATTTGTAGCCCAAGAAAATTTGTTATTGGCTTACTATATCACATTATCATATAAACTTTGACATGACATTTATCAGAGATGTTCTCCCGAGGAAGGCCGCAAATGTCTCTCTGATTTTGCATTAATATTTGCTAGATGCTAGATATCTTCTAAAGTAGAGGAAATTATTTTGTGTCGTCTACAATATGAAATAACATGGTAGATGTTGATAATATATAATTGATTTACATCGTCCAGAGCAAAGTAATGACTTTCTCTCATCCGTGATTACATTGAATAATAAATATCACTGAGAAGTTATGTATGACATTGATTCTTTATGAAACATTAAATCATTTTGTGATCATTGTGGTGTAAATGTGAAATATGGTGTTAAAAAAAATTTAGAAAAATTTTAGAGCTTTAGAATCGTGTTTTTTGGATTATGGAACATAAAATCACATCCACTTCATTTATAACTGTGGACAGTGTGTATATCTGTGTGTATATCGGTGTTTGCTACGCATTTTGAAAGTGGATTAATTAACGGTAAGAATTTGATATATTGTGATATTCATGATGTTGTGTTGAGATGAATGTTAACAAGTATTTGCAGTAATAATAGATTACTGGAATGTATTGACAGACGAAAGCCAAATAGATTAGCCCCAGAATTGGGGAAAACGGAGCAAAAAAAACTTTGGAGAGGAAAAGAATTATTAACAATGTAGAATATGTAGTAGTCAGATGAGAGCATATCGCAAAAATTGATGATATGAATTACAGCGAATCGATCGTTGACAGTGCCAAACCTAAAAATAACAGAGAAGTTGTGGTAGTTGGGTAGTAATTACATGGATCAATCATCTAGACATGTGCCAGTCGTGATGGATGAGTGTCGAAAAAAATTGAAAAAGTCTCGAAATCAAATGCCCACAAGACCGAGAGATGATTTCTCATTTTATACAAAATAACGCCTTTTCAAGTTACCTCAAGACAACAAAGTTGAATAGTAATAATTGTCTTTTCGGGTTTACATAAACATAGTTGTGAAAAATGGGATAGTATCTGTTTGATACTGAAATATCATATTTCAGATATGATGAGAATGATACTACTATACCATGTGACTACGAAATCATTATACATGGTGCAATTCATTTGCTTATGGAATGAAAAATTTGATATTTGAAATGAAAGGGAAGTTCATTGAAAGCAATATTTTTACTGATGAAATGAATGCAAATTTATACCGGTGTAACCGAAAATGAAACTGAGTAAAAAATTCCGAATGAAACTTTATACATATATATTTTAGCCCATTTGATAAGATATGATTTTTTTTTGAAAATATATCACAAACGTCATTTATACCTAAAATAACGGCGTAAAATCCATTCGTTCCAAATTCGATATGGTAGCACTATGACATAATTTAGGAAAATATCGAATAACTTGAAATGTTGAAAAACAAAAAACAAAAATTGCTCATTTTTTTGATAAAGAATTGAAGAATTGAAATTTTTCACCAATCCCGGTACGTTTCATGCATTTTTTAAATATCACTTTACTTCATTTCTCCCAAGAATCTTTATAGAAAGTTATATTTTTGAGACCTCCACAATGAAGTGTTAGGTACTCTTTTGCTACGAAAAACGTCAAAGATATCATGTGATTCATTTTTCTGTGTCCGTTTTTGACTCATAATGAGAGCAGAAAAATGAACATTTTGTTACAGGTAGTTTCTGTTTTGCCAAATCAAATTTGTCAAGTCGTATTATCTATTTTAGTCAAACTCAAAGTTTAGTTTATATACCATACCTGCAAAGGGTTTCGTTTGGAGCAGACCTATTTTTTTATATTGGCTACCCTATATTTTTGTCATTAGTGTTTGCTTACATCTACAGATGATATTCGTATTATTGATTTTACAGTTTCATTTGTTGTTTAAAAAATATTCATTTTATCGTCCATATCAATAGGGAGTTTGCTTCACATGTACTTTATTCTGAGTGAGTTGGCTACTCTGTGTCAGTTGTGTAAAATTTTATATCGTCAATTGTTTATTTTTATTTGTTGTTTTCATTGCATTTATTTCCTTTTAGTATTCTCAACTTCTGTTTAAAAAAAAAATATCTGTTTTTCCGTTAATCAGCTGTCGCTGATGGGTCAAACGACAACTCTCAGAAGTTGGAGAAACTTGTGCGAGCTAAGGACTAACGAGGTCTTACCTTTTAACGTGTAAATCCTAACACGTTAACGACGTGAGCAATCAATATGACAACTGACACAAATGACAAATGCAAAGAGTAGCCACTGATTGATTGATTGAACCAAGTGAAATGATTCAAATTTGAGAGACAGATTTTTTTTAAAGTAATTTCAAGGGTTGGAAATTCGTGCGTTTTCTTTCTATTGAGAGTTTATCGAAACTGGGAGAAATGAAAGACACTTAAGCTTCAAAATCAAATAACGAAAGAAGAAGAATTTGGCGAGAAGAAAATTAGGTTATGTTTGTTTTGACGTTTTTTCCTGTGTAGTGATCTGTGATACTTGATTTTAAATTTATATAGTTTTGAGGATGTCAGCTACTTTCAAGAATGCGAAAAAGAAGTTATCACAATCAGAACTTCGCAAGTTTATGAATGAACATAAAACTAAAGCTAAAGATGTGAAGAAAATCGAGTCACCCCTAGCAAAATATCCTTTTTATATCTTATTATTTTGTTATTATTGTTTCAGATTTTCCTATATTCATTTTTCAATTTATTCAGATATAAGTATTCTGAATATCATGTCAGTTTAGCTAGATCGCTTATTTTCCTTAACACTTAGTACATATAATGATCAGGGCCAACTGACCTGTATACTCTGTAAATCTGTTGTGAGAAGTGAAGCAGTTTGGACCATACACATAAATGCCAAACAACATAAACAAAATGTGGAGGTTGCAAAAAAGCTAAAAGAAAGAACCAACAATTTCACAACGCCACTCAAAAGACCTTTAACACCTCCGCTTCCTGACGTTCCTACGAAAAAACTCAAAAGCATTCTGAAAAACAGTACATCAGAAACATCAACACAGTCACTAGTTGGGAGTACAAATGGTTTAGAAGCTGAAGAAAACAAGTTACCCGATGACTTCTTCGACTCAAAGAACTCAAATCGTACCAGTCCCTTCAAGAAAAAAGATGGGAATCCAACAGAGAGTGTTGTTGTTCCTGAAAATAAAGATCCTCTACCCGAAGGATTTTTTGATGATCCAAAACTAGATGCAAAGGTATTTTTTCTTTTTATTCATTTGTTGTAATGTTCTGAAACTTAATAGAATAGCTGCTATTTCTATAGATAAAGAGATAAAACTTTATTCCAAGACAATTTTGTGGTTTTGAAAGTCAAAATGTTCAAAATAAGCCCAATTTTTGAAACAAATTAAGGTAGGGAATCAAAATATATCATAATTGTAGATACAAAACACTATTGGGAGCAATTCTTGAAACATGAATTCTATCAAAGGATTTGTAGTTGTGAAGGCAAACGATCATTGAGATGATATATTTTTAGAAGCAGTAAAAATAAATATAATTTGGGCATTAATTCAACCAAATTGTCTAGAAACTATTATTGTGGAGGTAAACTAGTGAACATCATAACTTAATGATATTTCTTATGTTGAGTGTTTATGTTCCAGTACTTTATATGAACAGTTCTTCAAGTATTCCAACCAATTAATTATTTTTGAACCATATTTGCAGGGTCATGAAAGATAATTCAATATTCTTCATCAGGTCGAGGATATTGCCTTGAGGAAAACCTTGGTTCAGTACAATACTTCATTTCAATTCCAATTTGATTTAGTTCATAACAAAGATTCAGCTTTCAAACTTGTCACAAAATACAATTAAAGAAGGTGGTTGGACTAAATAAAATAAAATAACATGTGATGGAATTGGCCTATACTTAATTAAATTCCATAACTTATTCAAGTAACACTTTATCTTGAGATTTTCACTGGATAGTTTACAAAACCTTAACATGTGTTTTGCTATACAATACATTTCTTAAGGGTTTTCATACTGCCATGTATTATAAAAAAAGAAAACTAATACTGCATATTTTTAGGCCAGAAACCAAGAATATAGAGATCCCATAGAAGAAGAATGGGAAAAATTTGTCCGTGCTATAAAGGATGCAGATAGCGAGAGTAACGCTATAATTGCTGAAGATCAAACTGAAGCTACCACAGAGAGACAAATTCACGAAATTGAAGAACAGATGCAAAACTTCGCCAGGTCTGTATTAGTCTGAATGAAGCAACAGGAATATTTTCAGGTTCAAAATACTGAAAACGATTCATTCTTCTAAAAAAAAAAGAAATATTACACAATGGGGAATGTTCCTCAATTTGGGTTATTACAGCAAATGCAAGTTTGAACAAAATAAAGTTGAGTTCAATTCATGAGTTTTTCAAATTCACTTCGAAAAGTATTCAAATTGATGTTTCAAATGTTGGGTTTTAATTTTTAAAGGGATTTGTTTCTAATTCACATATTGGCAACAGCGCCTAGAACTTTACCTGCCATTCCTAAAAATATTTTACCTTGCATATAATACATATATCAGTTGACATAATTTATACGTACCTAGATATTCTACTTTAAAAAAGGAAAATTATCTTTATAAATCAACAATTAAGGCAAAATATAAATTATAGTTCATTACCACCTGTTCATTACAGGTAACAGATTCATTGTCCTTTATTAGCTATAACCGATGTTGCCAAATGGTGAAATAGAAACGAATCCCTTCAAATGTTGAATGCATCATTTCATTCCTCTTTTTTAAGTATTTAAATAATTTTTTAAAGAAAAAGGTTGAAATGATAAGTTTAAAATGCGTTGTTTTAGAAATCTTTTATGAAAACTACTTGATTTTCGTCAGGAGAAACATTCCCCTTTCAGCAGAAATCAAACATTATTGAAATGTTCATATTATAAATAATAACAGATGAGGGTATAGCTAACCCATAGTTGGATGGGGTTTTTTTGTAATCAATTTGTGAAAATTGATTCAAATATTTTCAATAAGTCATAATTAAAATTAGTAAGTCAAAATTTCAAGAACTAATATTAGTAAGTCAAGGTTTAAAAAATTCATATTAATCAACCTAAAGTTGATGATATTCCATAATTAAAAAAACAAATTTCGTTCAGAGTATCATTCCTGTGACTGTCCATCCAATTTTAAAAATGTTTTTGTATATTAGGATGCCTAGTTGAAATGAAGATTATTATTATTATTCCTCTAACCAAGCTGAAGTGAATGACAAACAACAAATTTGTTACCGCTTCATCTGGTAAACAAAGTACTAACCAACGGCATATCCAAAATTCGCCCAATTCCTCGTATAAGGAAAGAAATATTCACATTTATTCGGTGGGCATACTTGAAAACTGCCTGTAAATCAAATTAACTGAAAGAACAATTTGTTCAGGCCAGTCTCGACTTTCCTACACTGTAGGTTAATGGACTGTCACCTATCAGAAAACGTCCTTCGTGGTATTAGCCAGGGGAATAGTTGTTTTCTGTCAGTGTTATTCCATTCACCTACAGTGTAGGTGAGTCGAGACTGAATATATGTAAAGGTTTCTTTCCTTATACGAGGAATTGAGCAAATTTTGGATATGCGGTTGGTTAGAACCTTGTTTACCACATGGATGTTGTTTGTCGTTTGCTTCAGCTTGATTAGGGGAATGATACTCTGAAAGGAATTCCATTTTTCAATTATGGAATATCATCAACTTTAGGTTGATGATGGACACTACCTTGCACTGACGAGAGGCCAAGTAACCCGAAAATGGTCGGCAAATGTGCCCGTTACTATAATTGAAAATCAATTCCAGCAGTTGTATCGCCAACAGCATATGCAGGAAATATTTTTGTGAAGATTCCTGCACTGACACCTGTTGGATATAATCCTACGCCCTTCTCTTCAATCTCGGGAATAGGAAAAAGTCACAGGGGGCCAAGTCTGGTAAATATGGTGCCTGAGGCATGTTTACGGTGTTGCTTGTCCTCAGTACGGAACTTTTTGTTCGTATTGCTTCTCGCAAGCGGCGCATAACTTCAAGATAATCCTTCGATCCATTTTTTTCGATAGCAGGAAATCGTCGAGCACGCAAAACATGTCTAACTGTTATGCCTCTCACCAACAAACTAAATTGTGAGAATATGCTCGACATAAAAAAAAAATCGCTAATCGAATGTAGCCCCCGAAATTTGAATATTCACCTTATTTAGAATACCTAGCAATCTGAAATAATTCTTTACGGCTGATTTTTTAATGAAAAAGTGCATTGAATCACCCCTTTTCAAGTACAAAGATTTTTCAACATCCATGCGAGCAACCCCAGGCTAGATTACCATACAAAATGACAGACTGTATTTGAGTATGGTAACAGATAGGTAGAACAGACTTTGTAACTAATACATAACTGATACAAACAGTAAGGTATAATGTTTTTACATATTCCATTAATTGAAAAAATGTAATGTTTTCAGATGTTTCCCAGATGTTTATTAATAAGCTAGAGTCAAAATTATCTTGAGACATTTTGAGTCATTTCTCATATAATAAATAACATGTAAATTTGATCACATTTCATTATTTTTTCTGTTACAGGGTATTGGATTGGAAAAAAGAGAAGGACGAGTTCAGGTTACATATCAAACCGAAAAGTACAAATGAAAGTGAAAGTGAAAGTGATGATGATGATGATATAAGTGAAGACTTTGATTGGAGAAGTAAACATTCCTAACTGAACATGTGAGGAATAGTTGTTTATCGTTCTCATAAAAAAAGGAAAACCTAATAAGAGGTATTAAAACTTGTCATTTTGTATAATAAATCAGCTGTTATTTTTATATTTGTGTTGAGTATGCCCCTGTATCTGGTAATAGAACGGTATATGTATTGTATTAATATATGATTCTATATATTATTATCATTGAATATACCGACCGTTTTTCGGAGTAATAAATGCTCACATCTGATTCATTTTTTTTTTAATTAATTTGGCAGCGGCTGTCATCAGATGCAGATTTCTCCACATCAAATTTTGAATATCAAGGCAGGTCCGAAGAAGCTGTAGGGTTCTTTTTGAACGCACGAGGGCGGGTCTTTTTGAAACCTAACTACTCCGTGTACCTTTTTGAGATGGTTTTACTTCTAAGTTCCACTCCGGAACGAGGCAGGAGACCAATAAAGGCTAAAGGCCTTTCAATTATTCTGAAATGGTGCAGGACTTACTCGAGTAGTGAGCCATTAAAAACAACAAGAAGCTTCAGATTAGGCTTATATTACATAATAAATCACTGTGTTAAAATATAACATGAAAGTCCAACAAAACAATAAGCAAAAATGTTCAAAAAGTAAGATCAAAATTTTACAAGAAAGCACGTCTCAAATAGCTGATTGTCAAACAGAAATTATCTCTTTATCAACTTGTGAAATATTATGTATTCTCTCATAAGGTAGGAATGTAGTGTAATTTATTGCCCTTCTTATATCGTCCCCAAGACGCACCAACAATAAGACAATAATTATTTCAAACTTAAAATGACATCCTCTCTCTCTATACCGACATGGGTGTTAGTAAAAAATCCAAATCCAAAACGATACTTTACTGGGTTCTGTTCTTCCTCTCTGGTATGGTATCTGTGTGAAATACACATCCGTTGTAAGTACCACCAAACGCAGCACCACAATTAACTCACTGCCAGCAATTTACCGTAATTCTACTATCGCAAAATCCCTTTGCGGAAAGTCCCTTTTTTGCGACCCTCTTCTGCAACTGACTTTCGCAACTCCCTTTCGCGACTCTCCCAAATTAACTCTCGACCGCAAAGTAATCTTTTCGCAACTGCTCTAAAGCAAAATCTCCTTTCGCAATATCCCTTTTCGCAACCCTCTTTCGCAACTGACTTTTTCGACCGTTTCGCGATCCTCTTCCGCAACTGTCCGATCGCCACTCGCCCAATTAACCGACTAATTAGTATTCCCAAGTCCGAAAAACTGTTCCCAACACTCCTCCCTTGTACCGTCCCCTGATTGGTCTGATCTTTGTTTAATATTCCCGAATTTTTCCATAACCCTTCCTACTCAAGACCTATATCTTTTTTTCATTGAAGTCATCGGTCAGTTTTCATTTTAAATACATTTTCGGGCCCACCTATTCAGGTATGGCCGAACTTCCTGTCCGCGAAGCTGAAATGCAAACTCGAAGCTTGCATTTTTTTGCATACCCAGTATTATAACTTATCAACAGGATACGTTTGTTTAGTCTAGCACGAACGAAACATAATGATGCCGTCAAGGTTCAACAATCATAACTTAAATTCAACGCTTACCCTGTTGAAAAAGTATTGATACCAAAAAACGGAGTGACCGACCCCGATCGTTATGAATAAAATGATATTTTTTGTTCACAATGTATCACAATGGCAGTTATTACAATCTGTTAAAGGGTGAAGTAGAAGTAGAAAAAAAAAGAAAAAAAATTCTTTCATTTATTTTATAAAAATTAACAATCTAGTTGAAATCTTCAATAATGCTTTGGATTCTGAGAGGTTTATGTTAACTCCCACACTTGAGGTTTTCTAAAAGTAATGCAATAAGAATATTAATGGCATTGCATTATAAAATGCATACTTGCAAAAAAAACCTTTTTAGCTTTCCACTTTTCTATATCTATTCAAAAAATGTAATAATAAGAATGAAAAGTTGAGAGATTCCAAGTCAAGTTACTTCACGACGTTTCGATTGTTAGTACCCACTATCGTCTTTGGGCGATGACTGGACTAATTTCTCCGAGAGATGACTATTTATGGGTCATTCAAGTACTTCCACTTATCTCCACTTTCCTTTTTCCGCTTTACCGGCTTAGTGGGAGATGACTGTTTGGCGGGAGTTGTCCATTTTTTCCTTCATTATGGGTTTCTATATGTTGCGTATCTCTATGCTAGCTTGGCTGAATGCATTGTTGGACAACATGTATGAGGCTTCTTTGAATATCCTCCTTAACCAATGTTCCTCCCTGTGTTGATATCAGCTTGGGACCACTCGATATTATGTTGATGGGTTCAAATATGCTCTGCTATCCTAACTAATTCAGTCACAAAGAAAAAAAATGTTAATTGTATCGTCCGCTCACGGTAAAGGCTTGGGGAACACTTTATCTAAACAAACAGAAAAATATTCCATTCTATCCATTGTAAAACCAAATGCCTCGGACAGGGAATTAGTATATACTGCTATCAACTTTGCAAGGGAGTTTACTAAGAATGCCGTACTAATATGGCCAAAAATTCTCTCCGCAAATTCACTGGACTTAGTTAATTCCAAACTCAACAACACTCACACCATTATCAGCTCGGAACCTTATATATTCGAGGTGAATATGAATCAACTAATTTATGAAAATAATCTTCTCATCCGCAAGAAACTTCACTTCCAGAATAATAACCTTATATCCTTCCTGGATTGCAATAACACACTACGAAGGAGCAATTATAGTAGAGATGGAATCCACCTGACGAATGGGGCCAAGTTTTTCTTAGGAAAAGCTATTTTGAGCTTGCTGGAAGGACTAAAATGTACTTCAAATAGCGGTGAACATGATGAAATCAACGTGTTCGAAAAGGACTTGACCAATGTTAGTTCTTATACAAAAAGTGATGAAGAAAAATCCGAACCACAAATCCGATAATATTGTTGATGAGAAAAGTGAAGATTTTTTATTGAAAACCAGATTTCCAAAGATAACATCATGATATCAATTCTTTTCCTCAACACATAATCCGTTCGCAACAAAACCGATGAACTTCACATCTTACTTGAACAGCAAGCTTTTCCACAATTAATCCTTCTGACAGAGCATTGGCTGAAGCCTGATGAACCTCTCCATATTCCGGGGTACCATCTTCTGTCCAACTACTGTAGGACCAATTATATACATGGTGGCACAGCCATATTTGCTCATTATTCATTACAGGAAATGTCATTTGTTATAGCAGAGGAATATTGTTATATACGAGAAGAGAAAAACAATTTGAAATATCTATAGTATATATAAATATATTTCTAGATAAATTGGAATTGACCGCGGTGGTAGTGCGCCCGACTCACGATCGGAAGATCGTGGGTTCGATTCTCGCCTCGACTAGATGTTTTTCTCGAGAGAATTATCTGGTTGAAGCGGGGATGATTCTGCAACCGTGTTAGGAATCACACGTTAAAAGGTAAGACCTCGTTAGTCCTTAGCTCGCATGGGGGCGACAGCTGATTAACGGAAAAACAGATTTTTTAAAACAGATCTCCTATCAAAATTTCAATTAAACGCTGACATTATTCTAGTTGGGGATTTCAATATCGACTACAAAGAGGAATCCACAATCTGTATTCAAAGACTAAAAAATATCTTTAACTCTTTTGGCCTAGTCAATTATATCAATTCACCAACTCGTATATCCCAGTACTCAGCTACGATGATCGACTACTTCTGCACAAATCTCGAACATGCCTGCGTCTCTTGTTTAATCATGCCCTCCAATTTATCTGAGCTTTGAACAAGGCATGAAAATTATTATTATAACAGAGGGACCAAGGTACAGAGAACACGATTGTTGGAATCCCAAGTAGATAGTATTATTTTCCAGAGACTCGAAAGAAATTGACTTCTCAGACAGCTCTCAAACAGACTAAAAATAAAATCTTCTCAATTCTCATTCTTCACTCCCTAGGTATCATCGCTTAAGGTTTATGAAATTGAGCTGTGTTATTACAATAGAGAAAAATTATGAAGACTTTTTTTCAAGACAAATGAAAGGCATCAAAATTCAGTAGCATTTTATTAAAAGTTGTTGGCAAGTAAGTGAAAACACAAGTTTACAGTACAAGAGTATAAAGGTATAAGCAATATAGTATAAATGTTTGCTTCATATCAAACACACAATATTTCAGTAAACTCGTAAATTCTGCAAGCAGAGCTAAGCTCGTGTCAATATCCCTATAATGAGTATCCCTATTGAAGTTATTCGTGTGAACATCTAAGGTTTAAATTCTAGTTTAATATTGAAAGTATCTAACACTAGATTAGTAGATTAATGAAATGAGCAACTGTATTTTGTATGTTCGTGAACGTAGCTTTGCTTTCTTTTGTACAAGTTATGTTTCGATGACTTGGGCAGAAAGATATACCTCCATCAGAGACGTATCTATCTGCATATGAACTGAACTGGGCAAAAAGTTTTCCCAGCACTTTCTGTCCTGTCCAGTCCTCGACTAAGCTACCAACATACAATCACAGCTTTTATTTGGTAGTATCACAAAATTTTCCCAGTATTTTTGTTACCACCAAACTTAATTTGTATAGAGATTAAGTAAAGCAGATAAATATTTATAGAATCAGATTCTACATAAAAATTTGGTGCTAGTATCTCTCAAATTTGTGCACATGGAGAAAAACGAACTGTACTACAAGAATATTTGTACGATTCTTATTGTAAACTTTGGATAAATAATGGAAAACTAAAAAAAATATACAGAGTTATGTTACAAGACGTGATGGCTGGACAAAAACGTTACTGTATGGTCCCTATCATCACTTTACTACCGAGGTAAGTGGATTGTAGAATGTGAGGCATCGCGACATACTCAAGTTTCCAGAAGAAAAGTGAATAAATTGCCTTCAAGCTGAGTTTAAGCTTTGGGCTCTTGGATTTCGACGGTTACGCTTTCCAACATAGGTGTCGCTGCTGAATTGAGGGCTTGCGGCGGACTTTTGTTGGATCTAGTAGACGCTGCAGAGATATTGCTGCTGCCTCTTGATCCTCTGCGTGATCCTAGAAACAAACGCCCTGTGGTAGGGTTGTTGTAAAAGAGAGGTGCAGAGTAAAATTTGAACTAATCTACGAAAAGTTGTCATTCTTGTTATAGACTAGGCATCTTTGACATTATTCTCTATAGGATTAATTGCAGAAAACCAGATCTCATCTACGGATTTCGACTATACCGGACACAATAAGACTGAAATTGATATTTGGAAAACATCCTTATTTGAACAGTTTTAGTCAAACATACCTCATCTTTTTGAGCAAATGCTTAAGTTTTCTTGAACTGTAAAGAATAATAATACTGATGATATGATATTTAGGACTATACGAGAATAAACAACTAAAGCATCAGCGTTTACAGTGTGTATGAAAAGCTTAGCAACATTGCCTTGTTTATTGGGAAAGCACCTATTATTTTAGATTGTCTTGATATAATCATTGTTATTACGTTGGCAGTTTATCTTTAATAGTTTGTAATAGGAAACATTCCAAACTTGATAATGATGAAGAAATAATAATGAAGTTATACTAAAATTTTAATTTTCTAAATCAGTTTCTTGATTTTATATTATCGTTTGCGTGCATAGATATTGTCTTGATATCTGATTACTTGTATGCACATTTATGCATAATATTATGCATAATACAGATAATACCCACAAAACTTTTTTGGATATTTTTCTTGAACTAATTGCATTTAAAGTATGTCGAGTAGTCTCAAATTTCCCCAAAAGCTACTAGCCTCTTGTCTCAGCTAACATTCTTTTTGGAATTTTCATTGAAAACTGATTCTTTCAAGATTTTTTAGCCGAGTTCATCATCTTCGTATCAACATGACGATTTGATAGTGTCAATGAATTAATTTTTCGCGGTTAGCACCATGATTTTAACTCTACGAGTAGTTGTTGGTAAGTTAGGTACTGTATGATTCATTTTTATTTTGTGGTGTTTTGGATGTGTGTACATTAACCAAACATTTTAGCGTTCGAGAGATGAGAAGCACGCATAATCGCAAGCGCTCTGTCACTAAACCTTTTGTGACTAAATTTTGTTCCTTTCATTTATAGTGTGTACGAAGTCAATTCGAATTGCATGAAAACTAAATAGTTACCGAACGTCGACAGTTTCTTTGTAAGGCACGGGCGGCGTGGTATAATTTTTTAAAAAAATTAATTTTTTTTATCATAAATCAACACGGATTTTTTTATTAGTAGTAAAGAGTAATGTCAAAAAACAGTTTGTACTTACATGAGAGTTAAATGAAACTTTAAGATTCATTATCTGAATTTTCAGAGCTTGAATCTGAATTTGGGGTTATAATAATGGTGTCAACGGAAGGTGAAATGTAATATATTCATTCTTCTTTTTATATGACATGCTGGACATATTTTATCCATTCACCATTGTCGTTTACTTCATTGATAACCGTTTGTATATTTTCTAGTATGGAATCACAATATGTTGGAGATCGATTATATTTTCTCAGTTTTTTTTACAGCAGAAAAACACGATTGACTCCAATGCAAGCCAACGCAAAATAAACTAATCTTATAAATTCTAACCCAAGCCACAGCACTGATAATCCCTCAGCAAATGCAAACAGATGTGTTTACAGTGGACCCACCAGTTTTCGACCATCATGTTTCCGTTGTGTATCCATGCAATATTATTTGTTCGACTAGATACGGCTGGCATACTCTGAGTGAGAGGTAAGAAACTCATACGAAGTCTGATCATTATTTTTATGTGAGAGGGTTTATATGGTATCAGCCAGTAAATTGTTCGGATTGACTTCATATAGACTATACACATGTTATGGTAGAAGATCCAACGTTGACTCTAGAACAGCGGTGGGAGAAACTTTCCAAGTCATTTCACGCGTGAATATACCTGCGCGTATGGCCCTAAAAATACTCAAAAGGTTATTCTTTAGGATCATGGTAATTAAGCATATTCAAAGTGCCACTATAGTTTTGGAAAAAATGTTATTGATGTGATTGTTTCAAGTTAGCTACATTATCACAGACAAGAATTGAACTATTCAAAAAATTCAGACGAAGTTCTTGATAAATAGAATCAGCACTATATTGCTTCATTCTTTTGAACTCCAAGTTCAGATTAGCTTGTACAGCTTTGTCATCAAGTTATCGACAACCAGCAATCAGATTTCCCAAGGACAACTTTTTCCTTCTGTGGATTAGCTACTGCGAGTTTGCTTATAAACATATTGGTGGGGTTTGTATTCTTTGATATTGTGTATAACCTCCTGACCAGGAAGGCGTTTATGATTTGTTTTTCTATCGACCTAAAGATGGGGTATGAGGTGTTTTCAAAACAATCCTCTTTGTCAAGGAAGGTACACCTTTTCTGTATAACTGAAACGTTTTGTTTGTTAAACATTTGTTTGAAAGTAAAGGGTGCAAGAGTTTTTAAAGGACAATTGAACTTTTTTAAAAAACTGAATTTTTTATATCAAGACAATCTAAGCTGTGAAGCAGTGGCTCTGGAATTTTTATAGTGCAGAATTGTAAACATCGATATTAACCTTCTGTGAATGCATCAGAGAGCAGAAAAATAACGTAAGACAATATAATCATGAGAGTCGAACAAAGGACAACACAACATTGATTGATAGACACGAAAGCATCATTAAGCCATTTATTGGTTACTGATGATTTGTACAGATTTGATAAATTGCATTGGACAATAAGCTAACATCTTAATCAAGAATTCACAAAGAGTTGCTTTCTTTTCTTAGGTATGTTATGCAAATGAAGATAACTATGCCAAACAGCGAATCCCGATTCCTGCTAAGACAACAGGAACACCAATATGAAATGGCAAAAAGTATATCCACATTAAAATTTAATTTAATTATGAATTGACTAAATCATTGAAACTGCTCCCCTATTACTCTATTACCGAAAGAATAAATAGTTACCTATATGTCATATATATATACAGGGTGTAACATAAGTACTTTGAAATATTCAAGTGACGTATTCCTGAGACAATTTTAAGAAAAAAAGTCTATATGAACTTGTGTCCGAAAATGCTTCGTTTCGGAGATACGGGGTGTTGAAATTGAATTTATTTTCACAAACTACACCTAAACGATTTGATCTCCACAAACTGAATTTTTTTGTTCCCTTTTTGGCAATAACTCTTGCAAAAAATAAGTTATTTGCACGAAATTCGGTACCCGGGGTTTTTTTGACGTGGGAAACCATAATTTCGTATTAATTTTCATGTAACATCTAGAGGGCGCTGCGTACGCCGTCATTATTTATTTCAAATTGCCCTAACTTTTTTGACAATACACTTTTGGTACTTTTCATGAAAAAACCTAATTCCCACACCTTTTCCAAGTAAAAAAGGTACACTTCCTCAACAATGCTGAAGGTGATCGTTTTCTAGATATTTATAATTTTCTATATCGATGCATATTACTTAGCTCCTAGGGCGCTAAGTGAAGTTGCTGAGAACATTATAAAAACTAAGTATGTGGTAGATCTTGTCAAAATAAACAACTTTTTCCTATAAAATGTTTAACGAAGAATGATTCGTTTTCGAAATACAGATTGTTGAAATTTTTCAAAACATGGTAGGTGTTTGTCATAAGTTTTTTGCAATTTTAGTTATTTTCATCAAATTTTATACACAGTATACCCGTACAGACTTCTTCTGAACTGAGCATTATCAAACTGCTTATTCAATCCAAATTAAAAAAATTTGTCAGGTTTAATTATTCAATTAGAAAGTGCTACATTTCTGAGTTTTTAAAAAAAAATCGGAGAAGTACTATGTTATTTATTAGGAAAATAAACATACAAAAATTGAACGAAACAACTACTACAACAACTGTTCAAAGTGACGACCCCCAACAGTAATACAAGCTTCTGCTCTCCTCATCAAATAATTCGCACCCGTTGAAAGAAAAAATCGACGGGATTGAGGTCCGGTGACCTCGAGGGCCAATGCTCAGTGCCTCCTCTTCCTATCTATCGTTGGGGATATGCTACGTCTAAAAAATTTCTTGCTTTCACACTAAAATGAGCAGGAGCTCCATCGTGCATAAACCAAGAATGATTTCGGAGATCAATGGGAACATCTTCCATAAGTTGGGGAGCTCATGTTCCAAAAAATGTAGGTAAGCATCTCCATTCAAACGTAAGGGGAGAAAATAGGGCCCAATATTAAATAATCCCCAATTATGCCTAGCCATACATTAAAAGAGAATCTGTCTAGGAAATGAGTGATATGTGTGATATCTTCCGTCCAGATGTGGTTGTTATGGAAGTTCATGATACCATTTCTTGAAAAATTAGCCTCATCTGTGAAGAGGATTTTCGATAAAATTTGCGGATGTTCGACTTTTCTTTGAAGCCATTGATCAAATTCGATACGTGGTTGGAAATCACGTAGCGTAAGTGCCTGGACACGCTGAATATGATAAGGATATAATTGCTGTTCCTTTAAAATTCTGTAAACTGTCATGTGACTCACATTTGAAGTTTGACTAATTTTTCTTGTACTTGTCTCTGGATGTTCACTAATTTCTGCGAGAACCGCCTTCTCCAATTCTACAATCCGTGGCCGTCCCCGCTTGAATTTCCGTCAGCCAAGCCGTATGCAAAAACCATATCAGCCATTTCAGCATTCGTATAATCGGCCAAGGTACCAATAAATCACTTCATAAACTCCGAACTGTGAATTTGTCAATTTATAGTTGAAAATGTGACAGGGAACTTCTATTTTTATAAACAAACTTTCATAGCCTACTCGATTTAATTAACTCAATTTGCAAGCGGAGAGTGAAAAAATTATTGAAATCAAATTTGGCTATAAAGTGATATGCATCGATATAGAAAATTGTAAATATCTCGAAAACGATCACCTCCAGCGTTATTGAGGAGGTGTACCTTTTTTACTTGGAAAAGGTGTGGGAATTAGTCTTTTTCATGAAAAGTACCAAAAGTTTACTGTCAAAAAGGTTAGGGCAATTTGAAATAAATAATGACAGCGTACGCAGCGCCCTGTAGATGTTACTTGAAAATTAATACGAAATTATGATTTCCCACGTCAAAAAACCCCGGGTACCGAATTTCGTGCAAATAACTTATTTTTTGCAAGAGTTATTTTCAAAAAGCGAACAAAAAAATGCAATTCCAACCCCCCCCTATCTCCGAAACGAAGTATTTTTGGACACAAGTTTATATAAACTTTTTTTCTTAAAATTGTCTCAGGAATACGTCACTTGAATATTTTAACGTACTTATGTTACACCCTATATATATATAGGGTGTAACATAAGTACGTATGACTTAGTCAACACATGGAGACATTCTTTATGAAATTATCTTTTCGAAAACGTCTTACTCTTTAATATTTTTCCTACTCAAATTTCAGGGGTGATGGTCAATAAGGGGGCGGAGGTACGGTAGTTGAGGTTATGATAGAAATATGTCTCCCTTGAATTGAAAATCGATCTGTTTTTGCATTTTTTTTTCTAAACATATATGTTATGAAAATATTCAAACTGTTCCGTTTTCGGTGTGGCACATTGTCTACTTGTCTTCATCTAACCCGTGTTTCGTTTCATTTCGTTTTCATTCTAGTTAAAACGAGTGACCCTGAATGATGAGACTTTAAAAAAAATCGTGAAAAACGTCAATTCACGTTTTCAAAGGGACACATTTCCACGTAACGATCAACCCCTTGCTATCCATCCTCACCCCATAACAACTCGCACATTGAACATTTAAAAAAGGAAAAATAGTCGAGTGACACCTCATTTGAAAGTTCTTTCAATTTTCAGTTTCCATATCCGTAACATTTTTGACATTACAGCAGTAAGCAATGTTAGAAAAAATGAAATGATTTTGTTCTGAAGAATATCAGGTATTAGCGACCTAGACCACCTGGTAATTTCTTCCCGAAAATTATTTAGAGGGCTTGGCTGCATCTCGTAGTTTTTTGAGTCTCATAAAAAATCCAGTGGAGTCAAATCGGGCGATCTGGAAGGCTACTCTATGGAACCTCTCCGACCAATGCTTCAATCGGAAAGTGGTCACCGCAATGAGAAAGATTCCCTTTTTGTTGAAAAACTACTTCACTTCGCAATAGGGGATTGAACTCGATAGTCTAGTTAATGCTTGGCATATTCTGTTTGTTTGTTTCTAGAAAGAATGATCCTATAATATGGTTACACAAAATTCCTGTCCAAACAATTAGTTCCTGGAAATATTGAGTGTGCATGTGGCGTATTGGGGCTTGAATTACTCCAGTATAGCGAATTTCGACGATTCACTTGCCTATTCAGATAGAAGGTACATTTACGGTGTACAACAAAGCTAGATTACGGTGGACTCGTTCCGAAATTATGAATTCACGTTTTCGTTTTGTGAGGGAGGGTTTTGTGTCGATGAAGAATTCTGAAAATGCTTGTATGACTCACTCCTGATGCTTGGGACAACTTACTCGTAGTCAAACACTGCTTATTTTCCATCAAGGCAACATGGCCTCGAACAGCAACATCAATGCCTTCTTTATTGACAGTTTCTGGACGGAAATGTTTTCTATTATTAAACTTGCCAGTTTCCATGAACTCATGTTACAATTTCATTACATATTATATATCTGTAGAGTAGGGGGGGTGAGTGTAAGCCCCCCTACTCTATCCATTGTACATCTTCTCGAGGAGTTGTCCTTCTAGGTCATCGTCCATCCTGTCCTTTCCAGGAAGATGGACAGGTCACTAGGAGACATCTCCTTTATATGGGCAGGTGTAGGCAGAGACTCGCCGAACACACACTCTCTCATTGATGATAACTCCGGGCACACATCCTGCATAGAGGTGTGTCCACTAGCCCCATATTATGGAGGTGTTTTCTCAGTTGACAGTGGCCAGTCAGAAATCCTAATGTTAAGCGTAGATTTTTCCTGGTCATCGCCAGATATTTCTTCGGCACCAGCTTCCCAGAGTCGCCCAGGGTGATCCTGGCAAGATTGCATCCTTTGATTTCATCCCATCTCTTTAGGGATTGAGCATGGGTGTAACATTTGGCTGATTCCCCAATTGTCGAAGTCAACAGGCCGTAGGTGCCACTGGGTCCTAAAATTAGTCCAGCCGCTTCCTTGGCTAAAGAGTCGGCAATGCGATTACCTTTACTCATTTTACATATTTATCTAACATTTTTAGTGATCCTTGCAGATTAGTTGCTTTGAGCATTTCATGGACATTAACATTGCCCTTTACATCGTACAATGCGAATTATTACCTTTCAATAATATCAAGTACTTCTCAAACTGTTACGATAAGCTTGATGGAGAAAAGTTGTTATTGCGTTGGTTTTGTTCAACATAGTTGAAAGTTGATTTTTCGTTTTGTGTTGTCTTTAGATAGATTGGTGCCTAACTATTTTGAAATTTAAATTGATAGTTGTGAATAAACTTTTGTTTGTGTGAATTTCATTAATAGCTACAACTGTAGTTTGAAACAACGTTGAGATATATTGGTAATATAGAATGAATTTTAATCCACCATTGTTGAATTTCGGTTGATACCTGATATGGTAAAGATCATTCAAGATGGAAGATAGAAGCAAAATGTATCCCAGTACTCATAATTTCAACAGACTGTTTCAACTGCTCTGAGTTCATTTACAGTAACTGGCGTCTTTAACTTATACCTTGTGAATTGGGAGACTGAGCTCTCAAAGAAACCATGCTTGGTTGTCTGCTTGGACCACGACTCGTCCTGGATCCTCTTCGATCGGGGTGTTTGTTTTCTTTAAGTAGAGACACGTTCATCAACCTTGGATTTGGTGTGTTGAATATGGTTCTGTTTTCCCTCCATCTGGCCCTACAATAAATACATGAAGAATGAGTATTCATGATTTTGAATATAGAGTAATACTAGTTTGAAGAAAAAACTTGAAAAATATGTTGAGAAATGTTAGAATATCATAACGATTGAGATTGAAAATTTCTGAAGATTTTCACGAAAGCAGTTCATTGAACTGCCAAAATAGCACAGTTAAATAATTGGAAATTAATTTGTGATTTGTCACAATTATCGAAATAAAAAAAATCAATAGAGATTGTAATAATAATAAGCGGACTTGAGAAGAGCTGTACTCAATCGTCCGTTCGACGGTTATACATTCTCCGACAACTTGTAAGCCATTAACCTTTGATTTTATAGTGTCCTCATAACAGAATCGTTTTGTTTGAAGGTGGTTGACAATGTTTCGTGGTGTATTTCATCAGTTCGGACTTCCATTGTCTAATATAATATAAATTGAAAAATAATCAAAAAGATTAACCGAAAATAACAGTTTTATTAAACAAAAAACTGAAATTACAAAAAAATAACATACAACAACCAAACAAATAAAAATTGAAATATTAATAAAGCTGAAAAAATTGAAATTAAAAGATTTCAAACCACGTTTTGTCACAACGTTTCGATTGTTAGTATCCACAATCGTCTTCGGGTGATAACTGGACTTATTCCTACGAAATCTGACTATTTATAGGTCATTCGAGTGCTTTCACCTATCCCCTCTTCCCTCTTTCCGCTTCATTGGTTTTGGCGGGAGATGTCCGTTTGGCGGGAATTGGTCATTTTTCGCTTGATTAGAGGTTTCCATATATTACGTATCTCTACGCTAGCTTGACTGAATGCGTTGTTGGACAACATATACGCGGCTTCTTTGAGTTTTCTCCTAAACCAGTGTTCCTCTTTGTGGATGATTTCAGCTTGAGCCCACTTGATGTTGTGTTGATGAGTCCAAACATGCTGTGCTATTCCGGATTTGCTGGTTTCTCCTCGCTGTGTGTTTTTCTTGTGCTCAGCAATGCGAACTTTCAATGGCCTCTTAGTTTCACCGATGTATGATTCTCCGCACTAGCAGGGTATCCGGTAAATGCAATTCTTGGAATCGCAGTCTGCGTTTGGTGGCGTGGTTTTCGTGAAGCTGCTACGAATAGTGTTCCCAGATCTGAAGAAGGTCCTGATGTTATACTTGGACCCAATCCGTCTTATCCTTTCCGATAATCCTCTGATGTAGGGAAGTACAAGTACTGGTTGTAGCGGCTTCTCTTCCTTGTGGAGTTCTTGCTGTCTCCTAGCTAAGGCCTGTTCTACCACCTTTTTGGGGTAACCATTCCGTTGAAGGTCATTTTTCATGATGCTTAGTTCCTTTTCGAGACCTTCTTTTGTATTACAGAGCCCAAAAAGCACGGTCCAGTAGAGTCTTGATGATTCCTCTCTCAGTCGATTAATGGTGGTTGGATTTCTGGTTCAGATACTGTTCTGTGTGAGTGGGTTTTCGATATACAGATGTTTCCCATTTAGTGTCGGTCCTCTTCACCAATACGTCTAAGAAAAGAAATTCGTTGTGGATTTCCTTCTCCATTGTGAAAGTGATGGAAGGCCTTGCGTTGTTGGTGTGCTTCAGGACAGTGTCTAGTTCTGCATTCCCATGGTTCCATATTATGAAGGTGTCTACGTACCTCAACCAGACTCGGGGCTTCTTCTGGGCTTCTTCAATGGCCAAAGGTTCAAACCACTCCATATATAAATTGGCTATGACAGGTGAAAGTGGCGATCCCATTGGCAGCCCCTCATTTTGCGTAAAGAATTCGTCCTTCAGTTGGAAGTAGCAGTTTCGTACACAGCATCCTAGTGGATTGGTATCGTCCCAAATTCGAAAATTTTGACCCGTTCATCCAGAAATGAGCCTCATCGCTGAAGATGATTATTCGATGAAAATTAGGGTTAGTTACCAACTGCTCCAGTGCCCGTTCAGCGAACACACGTTGTTGCCTATGGTCGTCTATCTTCAGATCCTGGGTCAGTGGAATTTTGTACGGGTGCAGACTCAAGGCACAAAGCCTCGGATTCTCCTGCACACTCTCACAGACATCGGCGATGTTATGGGCATATCTTACGTTTTGTAGACGCACGGGTATTGGCCGATAGTTTACTGAATCAGGGGACTCAAATTTATCCACCATGGGCGAAGCGCGCGGTACATTTCCCGAACAGAACACCCATTTTGATAGTATTTAAAAGAATTGATAAATTGGGAATAATTTTGTATATTGTACAATACCTATTTTTCATTTGGTTGGTTAAGTTGATTCATCCCGAACAAAAAATCAATCTTTTCAATTTTGTGGTTGCTTTGGAAATACTGATGAGATCGTTGTGACGATTAAGTTGTTTTGTTGTTGACGTCATAAGGTTTATTTTGCTGGTTTCATTAATAGAATAGAAACACCTTGTCTAGATTGTAGAGTAAAAGAATGTCTCATTCCAATACTGGTAATTCAGTTGAATGAATGAAATATTGTTACGTTAAGCTATCATTTCGAATGACAAGTCAATAACTAGTGAACTGACATGAATGTCTTAGAATGCCTTATTCATTGCAGAAAGAAATGATAGAGTGACGACAAGCACGCGATTGAACAGGCCGACGAGACGTGTCGCGACGTATTGGTGCAGTGCTACTAGATAAAAAATATTGAAAATGGTTGATTTTCTTTTTTTTTATTGTTTTGATGTGATGAACATTAGTGAACATTTTTTTTAACATTATAAATTGAATATAAAATTAGTTTATCAACAAATTATCGAAAAAGGGGACTTAGGACAGACAAATAATTTCTTTAATATGTGCACAACATCATCAAACTGAATAATCGTATTTTTTGTACATTGTCATCAGACCAGTTGATATTTTGTATTGTCTATTATTGACTTGTTTTCCTGTTTAATAGTATATTACGTACCAAGTAGAATAAGAAGCCAATTACCCACGAGCGAAAAATTGTAAGCACGACGCTAAGCAAAGTGTGAGTGGGCGTAATTGGCCTTAACCTCGAGGTGCATAATATACTTTTTCTACGACTGACCGCAGAAAAGAATGGTGCAATATATTTGTTTGAGATTATGGCTTTGGATAATGAACTCATTCAGTCAGTTAGAATTGACACGTGTTACCGCAGAGCTACTCCGGCGATTACCAATGTGATGTCTGATTGTGATATGAGTAGTAAACATAATTGATATTCACTATGTGAGTGAATAAATAACTTTGAAGAGTTCTTAATAAGATAATAATCTCAAATATAAGTGGCCTGTAAAATATTTCCGAATACTTTTGCTTGACTGTTATTGTTCATAGAATTAATGGAAGTAGGCTTTGCTTTATAGATGCGTCTGGCAAATGAAATATGATTGGCTGTTGGCTGGTGAGGTCGAATAATTCATTTTTAACCCTAATGTTGTGCCTTAGTATTTCAAAAATTGTTTCAAAAAGTACATGAAAAATGAATAGAAGGAAAAAGCGGAGTTGTGTCACCTTAGAAAACAAATATTTGTCATCTGGAGCTTGAATATTACTGGAGTTTCTTCCCAACACCAAATCGTTATTTTTAACACCTCGACACGTATTTTGATCACCAAGTGATCATCTTCAAGTGGAAGATTAAACTCTTGAAGAGTTTAATTGAAAAGAAATACCTAAGCAGTGAATTTTGAAAGTAAAAGTACAAGACCACCAATCCGTAAAAAGAATTTATAGTAAACGGGTTGTTACTAATATTAACATTTTACAAACGATAAATAAGGGATGGTGGTAAAAATGGAAACTCAATAAGAAAAAATCAAACCAAGTTAGGGTAGGGCGGGGTTAGTTGAGCAATTTTTCACCTGAGCTGATATAGCTCCCCAACGATAAGTTTCAATGGCATGTTTTGCAACCTGATCGACTAGTAATTTAACACTTTTGAGTGTCTACAGTATTTTGTTGCTAATAACACACATTTGAGAGCTATAGCTAATGGAATGCAGAAAGCCAAACATGCTCAACGTACCCCATAGGTGAGGTAAGATGAAACAATATTTTTTTGTACGACTGTCATTAAAATTGATATTTTCAATGGTTGTCAAGAGTATTAAAAGATGATGTTTACAAAGTAGCGTGTTAAAAATATTTTTAACATGATTTTTTCGACCAAATAGCAATAAACAAAACATTATTCAATTTTCAATTAAATTCAGTTACAAATGTATTATATACATTAATTACATTATTATTATTATTTATAAACATTAATATGAAAAGTACAATTAGAACAACTGCTGATGTTAATACCTTGCGATGTTGAAGAGCCTTGTAATATATTTGAACTATCTGAGATGACAATTTCATGGGCATTAACATTCAATTCCGAAGAGGACGATGCTGTAACGCTGGAGCTAGCTGATGGGATTATTCTTTTAGCAAGAATGTAACCCTCAGCTACTTGTTGTAGACTTCCATCCTCCGTGCTTCTTAATATCCGTTATATTTGCTCCTGATTCTACCAACAAAGGAGCAGAAGACCTTCTGAAACAGTGACCTATATATTCCTTTGGTTCCGGGAGATTCAGAAACTCATCAATGGTAGAGGGCATTTTCTCAAACGTGTTTATACCAACTGGGTTGACACTGCATTTATAATTTGAGTATTTCAGAAAAAAACGTTGATGGGCGTAATTCAACGTATTTATTGAAATAGTCAATGTTTTTTCCAACAATGCAAAAAGAACGACTTATTTTTCGTTTTCGTATTTTGAATTAGAACAATCAATGATTTATCCATTAATTTAATGTCTTCTATTAATAAATGGCACAGCTCTTCACGCTGACAGGCTCCATATATTACTAAAATAGTAGCAACGTTTATCATAAAATATTTTTTATCTGGCGCCTTATTTATTAACCTCTGGACTTGTTCAAATGTGAGAGTTTTTGATGTTTTGGGCCTATAACTTTCATTTTTCCGCTTTAAGAATACTATTACCTT